ACTGGGCAGCGAATTCCCTTACGAATTGTTCATTCGTTTCGATGGTAAATTGGTACTGGTACATTCAAGCAGTTAAAACCGCCGTCAGCTTGTTTCCAAGCGGACCTCGAAAAACAGCTATAGAAAGCCTTAAAACCAGATAATTGCTGTTAGCATGGGTAACATCAGATCGTCTCCAAACTCTCTCAGACGGTTAAGAGAAGGGGAAGGCAGGAGGGAGTGGGTTCAACCTTTAGCTTTAGCTCACCGGTGCCGCAACTGACAGTTTTTCCATACAACTCGATTCTGACCTTGCTACATCTACGTATTTATTCCCCATGCCTTTTATTCTAAAGGAAAATTGCTTTTAAAATTGTTTTTTTTTTCAAATATTTCGATTCAGGCCGTAATTTTACTTTGGTACTTTGTTCAGCTGAAGTTTATGAAATGTTTTTCGGAAATGCAGCTGACAACTTTTCCGGGTTTTTGACCAGTGTTGCATTGCTCGGTGTTTAGCTCGCTGGCCATTTTGATTTTCGTCCATTCTCCTGGTGGACGGGGTGGCGGAAGGGGGGAGCGGGAGGGGAGGAGGATTGTTAGTTAAAATGAGAGTGGGTAGGGGAAAGGAGCGGGAAGAATCCTGAATTTCAGACATTTTAACGTGACGAAACGAAATGCTTGAGAGTATTTGAGGAATCCACCTACTGGCTGTACTTGCAGGGATTTGTGCGACGCATAACGATGGAAGGGGCGCGTTCCGATGGACGCAGATTTTGGATAGCATCAAAGTGGCGCATTTCAAATTGCTTGAGAACAGCTCACTTCGAATCGACGTGACGAACCACGTTGCATGCGTGAAGGGCACGAAACAGTGTTCAGCCGAGGAGCCGACCAGGCAGTGTTTCGTTGTGCTTGCACTCCCCTCAAGTCTAAAATGTTCACTGTGCACCCGCTCTTGTTGATCCTCGTTTCATCATGCTGGTTCCTATTACATCATCAATGTAGCTAGTATTTTTTGCTTAGTTGTTCTGATCAAAACTGCATTCCGCTGATGACGATCAGCTTGCTAACGAACTTTCTGTTCTCTTTTTTTTTTTTTTTTTTTTTTTTTTTTTTT